TTATCAAAATAGGGCTGATACAGCATCCGTCCGGGAAGTCGCTGTGGTGGGCGTTTCTAGAGGACATTGAGGTCACACGAGTTCCATAACTTGCATCATGAAAGTAAAACAGCTTGTTTCATAACAACCTTTTTGACACGAGTTTTTTCAGTTTTGGTGTTAGATTGAACTATTTTGAGATATTTTCTGTGATAGTTCGTAATTTTTAAATGTGTGTATATATTACTATATATCATAGTTCTTATACTTACTGTAAGTGTATATCTTATTAGTTGAAGTTATATTTCTGTCAATTTTAATCAGGTGTGTACAGGGTGTCGCTAATTTGAGGGTGAATGTTGGGATTTCAAAAACTGTAAGAGATAAAGAATCGGTTAAATTGAGGCAAAAATACGTTATTTGGTACTCTTCAAAATAATGTTCTAAAATCTGGTAAATTCCGAATACTTTCAAAGATATCCTGAAAAAAGCGAAAATGCGGCAATTTCTTTTTTTTTTCTGACGTTATTTGAAGCGCTATTGAAATACAAAAAACTTTCTCTCGGCATCTTTTTTTTGTTCTACAACATTCAGTTCTCAGATTCTAAATCCGACGTTTCGTTCTTCAGAAACCATCATCAGCTTTGTTTTCATATGGATCAATATAACTAAATACACAATTAATGAATTGTATTAAAAACGTAACTATTCCTGATAACACTAAATTTATATCGTTTAATGTCCAAAATCTATTTCCCAGAATTTCAATTGAAACTCCTAGACAAAACCATGTAACCTCTAATAAAACAGGAAATTTTAGATTTACTTACTGTTTGTCTATCTCAAATTTATTTTCAATTTGAGAAAAAGTTTTATTCATGCAATAAAGGACTGATAATGAGAAACCAGTTGAGTCCTTTGCTGGCTGAAATTTTCATTAATACAATATAAATGAAGGTTTATTGATAAATCACACCATCTACCCAACTAACAATATAAAATGAAGGTTTATGGATAAATCATACAATCTACTCAACTAACAATATAAAATGAAGGTACAAAATTACAAACAATGTACAAAATTACAAACAATATATAAAATTACAAACAATATTCCGAATGTTTTTTGGGTCCTCTTTTTTCCATTTTTTTCCCTTGTTGCACTCCTTTTTTTCATTTTGGCTTTTTTTGAAATCCTGGTGTCTACATATTTTTTTTTCTTCTATCCATTTTACTTTCATGTGATTTTTCGAATTTTTCAATATTCCTATGAACTTCTTCACTCAAATCATCATCATAACTATCATATTCTTCCTCCAAATGAGAACATTCTTCAACTCCATCATAATCATCCTTCAAAGGAGAACATTCTTCAACTCTTCCTGCTTCAAAGGGTCCTCTTTTGTCAGTTCCAACACAATCATCTTCCAAATAAGAACATTTGTCAACTCTTCCTTCTGCAAAGGGTGTACTTTTGTCAGTACTGTCCATATATGCTGTTTTGAATTAAAATAAATAAAATTGTCAACACGTATAATAACAACACAGACACAGTAACAAAATCAATCTACAGTTCTAGAGAATGAAATCCATAATAACGTTGTCAACAACGGTTACATTCAACAAGGACTTCATTCCTTCTAAAAAACTAAGAAAACAAGCCATGGACCAGGTTATATCTTGGTAAAATTACCAATAATATTGCTTGGAAATGGCTTACAGAACAAATTATAATTTAAACAAATTCATTAAAAACAAAGATAAAACTTCAGTTTCGGATATACCACGAGTATCTTAGTTGACTTGTGGCTCTTGAACAAAACTTTATATTGTCCAAACAGGGAACTTTTTCGAATTTGGGACACCTTGTACATAAATTAACGTTCGTCACGATAAAGTATCATGTATTTATTCTGTAATTCTCTTTATATTTGTGTAATAAAGCTGTTATTTTAAATTTGCTTCCATTCCTTCCGATCTCTGTAATGTTTTACAATAAAATTATAGAAAGTGTGAGAGAAAAAAGACAATTCAACAATGAAATACTTGAAACCCATGAACAGAATTTCTTGAAATTTACACTTGATCACACAATTTTTTTAATCTGACTTGGGTTTATTATGTTTTTCCTTCCAAATTTCCAAGCCGCGTATATGACTCTTTTATTGGAAGTTTTGTATTTTCTTTGAAGCTGAACTAAGTTGCAGAGCCTAATCAGGATTGGTAATTATTACGGTGTACCGAGAAAAGTGCTTCAGAAGTCAAGAGCTTTAATGATGAAGACCGGAATCCTACCATCAGTCATACTGTTCTGTTGGGAGGAGGCAATAAAGAAAAGGAACTATCTAGGATGATAGATTATTTCCAATAGATTAGTTCTGCGAGTAATTGTTAAATTACAGGAACTTTACAGTTATTTGCTGTAATTGAATTAATTTGCATAGAATAGTAATTGTTGAATCCTATGTGCTGATCCTGGAAAATATTGGCCATATTTTCAACTTTCTGAAGACGGCAACAAGCATCATCAAATCGTTGAAAATGAAATTGTAAAAATTGAGTATGTTTTTCAGTCTAATTGCTAGTAAATTACCTAATTAAAAAGAAATACCTGCATAAATGTGAATTTTTCTCTAAATGGTTTTTAACTGTTGGTTATTATTATTCACTGACTAATTATTGTAGTAGATCAGAAGTTGCAATATTAAAAACGTCCTGAAAGAAAAATTACGGTTTTTCAATAAATAAAACATCAATTCTGTAACATTTGGTGATTTATTATCTGTAATTTTTCAACAAATGCTATATCTAATAGCGTTTACACAATCTAAAAAATAACAAACTAAAATTCATATTATATACATTAATAGCGTTTCAGGAACAATAACACTGTACAGGAAAAGTGAAATGCCTCTTTAAAGATCTCAATGAAAAACTGAAAGTAATGATTTGTTCAGGCAGGGCGGAAGAAAATTTTTGTATGGACTGACTTTTGCAAGTGAATTTGTTCCAGATAAAGGCCTTTTCAAGAAACGGTTTTCCTGTTGCTCAGTAACACGAAGGACTAGGGTCAGAAAAGGACTTTGGATCGTTACACTACTTTTCAACTTTGAACAAAAATGAGAATCAATTCCATTTTATTCATGAAAAGATTCTATCTATATCTGGTTTTGTCATCAAAAAAATATAAATCGTAGTTTGATTAATATTGAAAAGTAGTTACTAATGACCCAAAAAATCCTTCAAGTTTAATTAGAAACCTGCTCTATTAATTCTACAATTTTCCACATGTACCGCTCACAACACAATCAACAGTTCGTATGGTTCAAATTTCGTTCAGTTAACTTATTTATAACGTGCTGAAAATTTGAAGAAACCGCAAATACAATTTCAATAATATCAGTGCCTTATTGACCATTAATTTTTAATGTCTTTAAATAAGTTATCCTATATTCGAAATAGTCATATATAGTTTCCTCAAAAATATCGGTTGCAACTGGAGAGAGCAAGGGTCTTTTTAAGTCTTTCCAACAGAGAGACAAAGACTTACTGTCTACCCTATGAATTAGTTCTCTATTTTAACCAACTCCGAAAAAACAACATGTTTGATACAGAGTTAGGATTATCAAATCTAGCAATGAATGCCCAATTCATATGCAACATAATTTTTAAAATACCAAGAGTAGAAGTACAAAACCTTGTCTACTTAATTCGACTCAAACACTTTTCTTCAAACTACCAAAATAGGTGTATCGCTGTAAACTACTAGATCATATTTTAAGTACTTGCACAGTAAAGGGTCTGACACGATATATCTCCTAAAATTATTTTAATTGTCACCAAGATAAGTGATGTACTGTTTGGAACCTTTGGTGTAGTAATGAATATTACTGGGAGTTTTTTCCCAACACCAAGCCGTTATTTTAACATCTCGAAACGTGTTTCGATCACCAAGTGATCATCTTCAAGAGGAAAATCAAACTGATCTTTGTCTTGAAGATGATCACTTGGTGATCGATACACGTATCGAGGTGTTAAAATAACGGTTTAGTGTTGGGAAAAAACTCCAGTATTATTAACCAAGATAAGGCCTAGTATAATGTTTTACATTCCTGCACTCGTCTAGAATTTTCCATCAGTTCAAGAATTTTTAATGAAATATATATAATAAGCGAAATTTTGATTTCTCACTTATCCATAGATATAAAATACTTCATCAAAGGAGTCTTCCTGAAAATTTGTTCACTGAATGAAGCTATTTAATCAATTTTTTTTTTATCAAAAGAAAATAGATACAGTGCCCTTATACATTCTCAAAAAGTTCCAGACTGAAAGATATCAGGACTAACAATGGATAAGTGTAAAGTTACCTTTTCTATGGATTCAAACCAAATTCTAGAAAATCATCATCTTGTAACAGCTTTATATAAAAACAATACTCTAGCAAACAAATAAAACTAGCAAGGCTTCAAAATTTCAAGACGTATGAATCCCTGGTATAAGAAATTATTCGATCAAAAGCTGTAATGAAATCAATGTTGTATACATAGGAATCTGTTGCTATTTCATATCTAGACCATTGAGAACAAACACACTGAAAATATCTGTGAATGCAGAGGATTTTCAAACATATTATCTTTTTGCAAATGTGTAATTTCATTATTCATTCACTGCCTTGAGAATAAAATAAAACATACAAATTTGAAATTCCAGATCGAGTCCTACCGTAACGATAACTAACATAACATGCAAACGATCTTTCACTTACAAAAATTTAAACAGATATCAATATATTATAATGGAAACGTTCAATACAACAGCTTAGCGTTATCAATAAAAAAATTAAAAAAGATAGTTTAAATTTGAGTATTTTAATCTTTGTATAACATCTTCATCAATATCCGTTCAAATAAAAAAACATTTTACTGTTTAAAATATTTCATTGTATTCACTGTGGTATCTGTTTTTGTTCAATTATATTTGTAATTATCTTGTCATGGGACAAATAAATATTATCAATCTGAAAACAAAATCGTATTTATTTGCAGATATTCCGGATACAATCTTGAAAAACTTAAGTTTATATAACTGACTTTAATGAAAATGAACTCTAAATTATCCCAGATTTGCATTTATGAAAGGTTATACAACTTCTACTACTTGTTTTAGTTAAAGAAAGGAAGGAGTCTTATTTTTAAATGTACGATTCCAAACACGAGCTAGTCAATATGCACAAGGATAGGTATCTGAGTAACCCACTTGAAGTAATTTTATCGACTCTTCTACGATGAATGCAGGCATTTTAAAATGCAACAAAGTAGTTGCTTCTCTTCACCAATCCCCAAATGGTTTAGACTGTTCTTGTTTTACCAGATAACTACTTGATTGTCAGACCCTGTTAAAAGTGTGCCCTAAATATTGTGACAAATTCGTTATAATTTTATTGATATATCCAAAAACAATAAAAACATGTTAAAAACAATAAATAAAAAGTAGCACTATAAAATGAATAGATAGTCACTATCGTGTCTTAGAATCACAACGCTCTAGTAGCTAGTAGTGGTTAATGGTTTCAACTGGGGCGAACAGTCACATCACATAAAACAATCGTAAACAATTCTGGTCCAGACCCCACGAAACTACGATTTATTGTCTCCACCTAAAAGAAAAAATCGACAACTTGAGGGAAAATTTTGAAGAAAAGATAATTTGGGTATTTTAAAAAATTATTAACCCATATTTCAAAGTCTTTGGCCATGTTTACTGGCAAACTCAAATAGGAGAGTGTCCAACAATTTGCCAACCTGAAAAATAACATCTAAAAGTACTAGTTTGATATATTTTGTCTTGGTCTTCCAGAACACTGGAAGCGGGAAGAACTAAGCGGCTAATGCATTGTAAATTTTAAAATGAGTATGGCATATAGTTCATGGCAAAAAAACTGTTAATCAAGAAACAAAATTGTTGAAATGTCAATAAAGGACTAATTTGAATGTGCTGAGTTTTCAGGTAAAAAATGTTAAATAATCGTCAAAACTAAACATAGACCTTCTAAAGAGAATAATATCATTTTTGTAAGTGAAATTGAATATTTTTTTATAGCAAGACATTTCAATAAAGAAATGACAGACAGGGATATATATTAGAAGGGCTGAAAAGTTTGTTGGTTAACACACAGATGGCGCTACTAGTATTGAATCCATATTGTTTTTAGTTAACCTTAACCTTCAAAAGACACGTGTACAAATTTCACATTAGTCGGACTATTAGTTTGTGGGATAGAACAAGGCTTGGCTTGTTAAACTTTATTTGTACTTTGCACCAGAAAAATCAACCGTTGAGAGGTGGTTTCCTGAGTTAATGAGATGAAATGACCACCGAGGACGATGCACGTAGTGGACACCCCAAAGAGGCTGTTACCAACGATATCAAAAAAAGTCTAAAAAAATTATTTTGGATGACTGCAAAGAAAAGTTGATGGAGATAGCTGAGGCTGTAAAGATATCAAAGAAACGTGTTGAACATATCGTACCTGAATATTTAGGTATGCGAAAGCTCTGTTCACACTGGGTGTTGCACAGGCTCACAATCGATCAAAACCAACAATGAACTGATGATTCTAAGCAGTGTTTGAAGCTATTCCACCATAAAAAACTGAATTTACGCAACAATATGTGACAATGGATGAAACATGGCTCCATCTTTTCACACCAGAATCAAAACGATCGCCATTTATTTTGAACAGCTTCAATTAGAAGGAAATGAAATACTCACACATGTCTGACAATACTTCAAATCAACTGAACTAATACTCAACATTAATAAAACAAATGTGTTATTATTTAAAACAATTTCCATTTAACACACCATCAGATCCTAAGCCAGTAACATTCACCAAAGATGTTAAACTTTTAGGGTTATATATTGATGAAAACTTGGACTGGAATTCGCATGTTAACTATATGAGTCTGAAATTACCAAAATGTTATTCAATAAGAGTAATTGAGAAATATTCTTTGAGTCTGAAGAAAATGGAACAGAAAAAATCTGTGTTGATGGCTCCAGTTGCAAACTTGAGTATAGTTTATATAAAATTTACATTTTTGACGTTCCTCATACAGGGTGTCCCTGGACTTCCTCTTTTCCTCTCGGGAATGTATAGATGGGGTGAAAATATCACCAGTACTTCATATAACTTTTTTTCCTAAAAGTCTTCGTAACCAAGTTACGGGCCCTCGAAGTTACAAAATGAAAAATGTTTTTCTTTGATAACTTTTCAAGTGAATATTCAAAATCATCCAAATTTTGGTAATTGACTA